AAAAGGCATTAAGGCTAAGTTCTGGAGTGGGCTCTTACTCTGATTGCGGTGTCGTATCGACCGTTGGTGTCTCCAAGTTGTCTATGGAATTGTCTTCCATTCCTTCTAAGTAAAGGAGCGAAGCACGTCCTTTGCAACGGTGGCCTGAGGTGAAACGATCGTCACAGTTAAAACATAACCCTTTTGCTCTTCGATCTTGCTGCTCTGCCGCTGTTAATCTACGGACGGGGAGTTTAGTTGCTAGGTTAGGACTGGTCGGAGCTATAGGCTGTGGTTGTGGGGTTGGTCGAGTAACCCAAGGTCTTGGTGCTGATCTGGTATCAGCGAACTGATCTTCGAAAACCCGAGCTAAAGCAAATGCATCATCAAGGTCACGAGGTCGCTGTGCTGATACTGCGCGTTGAATTCTCGGCTGGAGTCCTGAAATGAATGAACTTTTTAAGAGATCAGGTGTAAGGCCAGTCACTTTACTAGCCAACGCCTCGAACTTGTTTTGGTATTCTGCCACTGAAGCCGATTGTGAAAGCTTCATTAGTTGGCCAGCTGGGTCGGTGTATTCTGATGGACCAAATCGCTTATGCAGACCTGAAACAAAAGTGTTCCAATCTGTAAGACGGCCCACTTGAGCCATGCTTTGGAACCAACAAGACGCCGGTGTATCTAGGTGCATGGAGGCCAGGAGTAACCTGTCTTCCAAGGGAGTTGAGTAGTACATGAAGTACTGTTGAATGCTAAAAAGCCAATCAGTAGGGTCACCAGATGAAAACAGAGGGAATGTCAAACGAAGGTTGCGATTCGCATGTGTCTCCGGTTGAGCTTCTGTTGTGCGCAGTGGTTGTTGTGGCCCAGGGCCAAGAACACTCGATGAAGGTTGATGTGGTGGAATGGAGGAATTAGCTCGTATTTGCTCAATCATTGTAGCCAAGAAGCGTTGTTCCCTTTCTTGCTCGCGCTGCTGGGATAGCTAGTCACGGTTTTCCATGGCCATGTTAAGTTGTACTAGTAATCTCTCAAAAATATCATCCTCAGTGTTTTGTGAGCAAGTCTGTGGTGCCATGGTGAGGTTCATCAAGCAACGAAAGCACCAAATTGTTAGGAGAATTTCTATGTAGGAGCTGGAGTTAGCAAAATAGAGGGTAGAAGACAGAAGAGATCTAGGATAAGAGGGAGAAAGAGGGGGAGAGAGAGAGAGAAAATTGTTGAATATTGCTTGTTTATTTCCTCTGTCGACTGATACACTTATAGGCTATTAGCCCTTGATTATTGCCTAACAAAAGTACTAATTAAAATATAAATCAAATCTCCTTAAATCCCTCCCTGAATCCTGCCTAAGGCCTTGCTGTTCAGCTGTCCTCTTAATTGATGATTTCAAATAAAGCCTTAATTGTAATTTTCCAATTTAGCATCATCAGTTAACGATTGAATGTAATTGCATCTTTGTTGCGTCTTGTGTAAACCTTTAGGGGAAGGTTCAATTGTGTAACACATTCCTGATTACAAATAGAAATTTTTTGTTTTATCAAGTATCCAAATACTTTTGGGGATTGTAAGTAATATCTATATAGCAACACAGCCAGTTGTTTCTTGTTTATCTACATTTTTTTTAAGTACCTGATCAAGCTAGCGTGTTAAGATATGAGTGTCATTAAGATTATTCTGTCATGGTTATTTTGGTTATTTTCGAATTATATTGAGGCCAGTCTATTTCTATGAGATCAATGCAGGATTTGAAGTTTAGCTCTTGGTTCCGAATCTATATCGACCATAGATATTGGCCAGCCACTGTTTGGGTTCGACCAAACTATGTCTGTGTTTATACTTTGCCTACTTAAAACTCGAACAAAGTAAACTGACAATTATTGTTGACCATGGTGGTCCAGTTTGAGCCTTGTTTTTATAACAGATAGTTATGGACTATTTCATGTTATGTAAGCTAAATGACTTTCTAGAACCGACTGTAGGAATGATGAACTTTACAGTAAGAAGGCAGACAGTTGGGTAATGCAGCGTGCGAGAAGAGGGATGGACGTGAAGGGTTAGACGAAGGTGTTTGTGTATGCGAACGTCTCTAGCCATTTCAAGTTCTCACCAGACCCATACCGCGGAGGAGAGATCTCCACAGATCTGAGTGGCCACTGCTGAAGTATTTCATGCAACCGATCAGAAAGATTAATCGGAGCCGATCCCTTGAATGCTGCTCTCTCGGGATCACAGTAGACAGTGTTTCATCCTCTGCAATGCATCTTGAAGCCAACCAATATATCCTCTGTTACAGATCCATGTCTCCAATCAATCTGCAGCACCCAAAATTGAATTGTTAAGGTTAGTTAATACTAACTTTGGTAGAGAAATAGACAATCCATGGTATTTCTGCATCCATCTTCTATACAGGTTTGGCATAGTCTAGCATGATTTATGTTCAAATCAAAGATCAAGTATGGGAATGTCATTAGTAACTAGTTGATAAGATGCAGTGGATGAATGGTTTTTGGATGATCTAACAGCATAGTTGGTGTTGGTCAGACGCTAGCATGGTGTCAATGATGTCATGACATAATATGATGCAGTGTTGAAAAAATGTTAAACAACGTTGAAGATGCCAATATTATAATATTTCTTCTACATGAGCTTAAGCCAAGCTCATTGGCAACTGCAACACTATTATATTGAACTATTGAAGCTTGCTGTCGTTATAGCACCAGTGGTCTAGTGGTAGAATAGTACCCTGCCACGGTACAGACCCGGGTTCGATTCCCGGCTGGTGCAAGTCTCATTTTGTTTTTAAATTCCTTCATTTTAGTTCCCTGCTTGTGAATGAACGTCCCTTTCGCTTTTATTTTAGCCCCAACTTACCGGTGGAGCATCATTTTCACTGCTTTATTTATTCTGCATTAAGTTCTCTGCGAAATCTTGTTTAGTTATTATCTTTATCTTAATTGCAATGCTGAGCGCGATTGTATCTTCTTTCCAATTGCTTTTACCAGATTCTGCAGTACGTAACATACTAAAGGATGACAGGATGTTTGTTGAG